TTACCCACATTTTTCAACGGAATTGTCTGAAAATCCACGCAAGGAGTTCCTTGTGGGTACTTTATACCTCGGCAGAGAATTATCTATATAGGTCCACAATATCGTATAGCCCTCATATAACGGTACCCCCCGATATTCGGTATTTTGATGATTTTACCCACATTTTTCAACGGAATTGTCTGAAAATCCACACAAGGAGTTCCTTGTGGGTACTTTATACCTCGGCAGAGAATTGTCTATATAGGTCCACGATATCGTATAGCCCCCATGTAACGGTACCCCCTGATATTCGTTATTTTGATGATTTTACCCACATTTTTCAACGGAATTGTCTGAAAATCCACACAAGGAGTTCCTTACACGCAGACATAGATTTGTCTTTATAGGTCCACAATATCGTATATCCCCCCATATATCGGTACCTTCCTATATTAGATATTTTAAAGAATTTTTATTGGATTTTATTTTTTTGAAAATTTTCTAATTCGTTCCAAATGGTGGAGGGTATTCAAAGTTCGGCCCGTCCGAACTTACTGCTTTTTTACTTGTTCTAGTTGTATTCTTGTCAAGGTTAGGTCAGTTTAAAGGATGCACGGTTGCTTATTATAACCGCTCCTCTCGGAGAGATATTAATAATTGAAGATATGAATAATGCACGAAGAGATTATCGTATTGTCTTTAGCCACTTAAGAATAACTGCTGGCCCGTTTTCGGAGAATGATGACAAGTGGTGCAGAATTTGCTTATCCATAAGCCTTTGTCTAACAACAAAAAGACTTGGACTATAGCAAAGTAAGTGCTCTACCGTCTTTGTTTTTTCCCGTCTTTACAAAGCCTACAGTATTTAATATCGTTGCTACCGCACTTAGAAGTCATGGCACTTATATTACAGTGACCTGTGATTAATCCCACCACTTGTTTTAGGTGTGTTTTCGCCATGAAAATGAGCGACCTTGATCTCCTTCCAGATATAACCGGAAAATTTTCTTGGGGACATTGGAACCCCTTCGATTTAGTGGATTTGTTGAAATCACCTAGCGTTATATTTATGTATCACTCAGAGAAAATGGCACAAGGGTGGCTTCACTGATTTTTCGATCGCTAGATCAACTGACTCGTATCCATGTCCAATATCGCTGCCTGGAATACGCTACAATCGTTGTTTAGTTTTCCGTGAAGCCACCCTTGTGCTATTTTCTCTGAGTGGTACAATGTTGCAAATGTTGCCCATGATTGAGCTAATGGAGATATAGCTCCTTGAAATCGTCACAAAATAGCAGTCAGTGCCTGCAACTAAATTTAATCTAAATAGCTCAGCACCAAAAAGGATACTGTTTAGCTGTGTTTCAGCAGCAAAAAATATTTATTTTTGAGTTTAGTGTTTTCCATTAAAATGTCAATTCGTATAAAAATATCCTTAGATATATTGTCAGCTGTTTATTCGTTTAAAATCAGAGCTATTTTCTTGTGTGCTGAATTTGTTGCTTAGTTGTCGGTTGGGCCTAACCAAAAATAGCAAGCATAGCAAAATCGAGCTAAAAAGCCATTATCTGAACTTAAGTTGCTATCAGACGATGATTGTTTTACATATGTATGTGCTGTCACCCTTGTTATCCATGCGTATTTCCGTGTGTGTGTCAAAAATGCCATTTTACATTTGACTCATAATTTTTTTTTTATCACACTCTTGTTTTTTTATTTTTGTTACATTGTGATTATATTCTAAAAAATTATAATACTTTATGGATGACTTTTTACCGCAAAATTCAGTTTATATATTTTCACGCAACAAACAACTAACTTTTGATTTAGTTTAAATTTATTAAAATTAATTACATATAATTAATAGAAATGTTCTTTACTCGTTTTATTTCTTGTTTTCAATAAAATTCTAAATAATTTTGAAAATTTTCAAATTCTTTGCAACAAAAATTTCATGGTAGAAGAATATAGGTAGACGCGTCGACACAGCTGCTTGGACAATGAACTGTCAAACCAATTTTGGAATTGAAAATGTTGAATAGAAAATTTTTTAAATTTGTAAAAATTGTTGAAAAACGCGAATTATAATAGCCTCCGAATGACGTAGTATAAGAAAGTATATAAAAATCTACTTATATTTAAATACATTTAAATATCATATCAATACTCCAAAGCATGAAATGAAGAAAATAACTTTTTCCTTTTTTATTAGTTGATCACAAGATTCTAACAACAGTTTTGAATTTTCCCATTTAATCAATTTGACCTATCTAGTCATTGTAGCATTATGTATATAAAATGATTGAGAATAATACAGGTAACAACAAGTGTTGTTGTACAACAATCGTAACAACAACCACATACAAATTTGATTTTGTGAGTGATACAAGTGTCAGATTTATGTGTCCAAAAATAAAAACAAATTATTATTTTTCAATAAGTTATTTTAATTTCAAAAATATAAATTTTTGGAATTTTGATTATTAAATAGAAAATGCAGAAGAATACTTCTTAAAATATTTAATTTTAATGCTTTCACATCATTCCCCCGATTGTATAGTTGTTTGCTGTTGTTCCTAATATCTCAACAATTCAAGCAATCGCTTGAAAATCGCGGAAAAGGCAACTTCCCTTTCAAGTTGAAACCAAACTGCACACATACATAAAATATTCTACATTTTGCAATTTTAGGAAACATGAAATATCCGAAAATATCTAACGTGGTGTCGCTGTTCCTTAACCGCAAAAAAAGTTTCCGAACCATCGCCTTTGGCGTTTTGTTAAGTATACTTGCATTTTCTGTGAATTTCACAGAATAAAAAACTGATTCCCATCTCTGATTTCTGTGTATACAAAGGATTAATAAATATAAATTTTGACAATTAGATGTTGTCAAATTAATAATTTTAAAAAAAATTAAACATATGATTGCATGACTTTGCTTTCTTAATTCTACAATGGGTAGACGCATAAACGATCGCATACATTGGTATATCATGGTGGAAGAATGCAGGTGGCCGCATTTACACAGCAGCTGGCACAATGAACTTTCAAACCAATAGTTCAAATTTGTAAAAAAAATTTAAATCAGGCATATCATAATATCCTCCGATCGGTGTCGTATTCCTATATACCAATCTACTTATTTTTGAAGAAACATTTAAAAATTTTTGACCTGTATTCGTCAACCATGTATATATTTAGTTTTTTTTTATGACCTCAGTCATATGGCTAAATGCCTCATCGAAATAACGTTTTAAGACCCTAGGTCTCTTTGGGCCAAATCCGTTTCAAGATACCTGGCACGTCGCAATATTTATATCATATTTATTTAGGTCTGATAGGAAATGGTCAACATTGGCGCATTCCATGGTAGAAAAATACAGGTAGATGCATCAACGCTTGGGAGCATTGATCTGTCAACATTTTTTAAATTTCTTTTCAAATATAAGTAGATTTTTAATTGTTTTCTTATACGACGTCATTCGGAGGATATTATAATACTCGTTTTTCAACAATTTTTACAAATTTAAATAATTTTTCATTCAACATTTTCAATTCCAAATTTGGTTTCACAGTTCACTGTCCTAGCAGCTGTGTCGATGCGTCTACCTATATTCTTCTACCATGGCGCATTCCTTCGGTACTCACTCCATAGAGGGTCAAATATTTGAATTAATAACAAAAGTCAAAATATATTTAATTGGCTGAGGGCTTATACTTTTTAACTTGCTTTCATAATTTTTAATTAAATTATTAAAGACAACTTTTTCTCTAGAAAACAGTAAAGGGCTAAGTACATAAGAAGCTTGAAGTCATGGCTAGGCATGTTTTGTGACATTTCACAAAGGGATTACAGAGCCGCACTAAAATCCAGCCGTCGTTTTCCATTATAATTTGACATTAATATGCCTAGCCATGACTTCAAGCTTCTTATGTACTTAGCCCTTAAGGCTCACTTTAATTTAAAGAATTATTTAAATATTACTTATAATTTAAAAATTTTTAACACTAATTGTACAAAATGTATGATTTAATGTTGTTTTTGGTTTCATATATAATGATTTATTACTCGCAGAAGACCATCAAAAATATCAAGTCGGATCTTATTCCCCAACCTTGTTTTGGTATAATTTATAAAGGAGATACCCCTTTCAATAAGTCGTATGCATGGTAGAAGAGTATAGGTAGATGCATCAACTCTGAATAACATTCATATGTCAAAAATTGTAAAATATTTTGTCAAAAATAAGTTGATTTTTATATGTTTTCTTATACGACGCAAATCGGAGGTTATTATGATATTCAGTTTTCAACAATTTTTACAAATTTCAATAGTTTTTCATTCAACTTTTTCAATTCCGAAATCGGTTTGACAGTTCATTGTTCCAACAGTTATGTCGGTGCGACTACCTGTATTTTTCTACCATGGTCGTATGTATCTGCCGCATCACGGTAATCATAAACATTCCTATAAAATTCAATTAATTTTTTTGGAATTTTATGGTTAAAATATTCGTTCCACTTTATAAATTGTAATTTCCCCCACATGTTTTAATAAACACACAATAGAACGCTTCTCGGACAACCTAGATTATGTTTGTGATAATTGACTGCCACATTTAAAAATTGAAAATAATTAAAATTTTATTATTTTCCGATAATCTTTTTTGATTTGTCAATGACAATATTTTAGCTTTATCTATTACAAATTGTACCAATTATTTGCTGTCAAATAACAATAGATGCATAATTTTCTAAAATTCACCAACGAAATCGCCATCTATTCTATAATCCGCCAAAAAATCGCCATGTCGCCAAATCAAAAATAATGTCGCCAATCTGAAAACCCTAAATATAATATAAATTGAAGTCAGCTTGTTTCATGTAAACGTTTGGTAGTGTTGATTTTATGATATGCTCGACTCGCGTCACATATAAAGGAGTACCACCGTTGCATATTGTTGCTTTGAATCACCCTGTATAACTTGTATTGATTTGGCAACTGTGCATTTTCTTGAGCTGATTAAAATCAAGTTTTCAGTCGAATCCGTGTTGCATTTTCAAAAGGCCATTGTCGAAGTTTGCTCGAAAAAGCGTTGAAATTAGCCCGTATGCAAATATAATACGTTTAATAGATGGAACTCGATAGAAAAAGGTACCGAGATATTGTGAAATACAGAAATGTATGTATATTTTAAAATTCGACGTCGTTAAAAGCGCGTTATCGAAAAATCTACTTAAGCAATATATGTATATATATATATATATATATATATATATATATATATATATATATATATATATATATACATGTATATATATATATATATATATATATAATATTCAACCAAGCAAAACAAATACATATATGCTTAATATGTACTATTAAAGTTTTTAAAATTTTGTATACGCTATAATTAAAAAAAATGATTGAATTCACTGGTCATCTTTAATTCTACCTTTGCCATTTCTGTAGGCAAAAGTAACTCTTAACGCTTTTTAGATTTATTTATCTACAGTGTCCGTAAAAGCAAGAAATCACCTAATGTGTTACAAAGTGCCAAAAATTAATAATTTTCCCATTAAAATTAAATATAATTTTGAGACAACTCTACCAGAGGTAGGTATTTTTACCATGATTTCGGGAAACTAATTTTCTTGGTGCCCAGGGCACTCCAGTATTTCGCAGTCCGGATTCGAGATGGAACAAATCTAGTTTAGTAAAAACTCTTCGATTTTTTCGAAAAATTTTCCAGAGGTAGGTATTTTTACCCTGATTCCGGGAAACTATTTTTTCTTGGGGGACGGACCCGGGACCCCAGATTTTTGACCCGAGAATCCGGGCTTAAGACCCGGCATGGATCCGGACCGAACTACCCGATATAGACCATATAGGTATCGTTGGAAAGCTTATGAAAATACCTAATCGGGTTATACGGATGGAAAGTCCCATATCTCTGAACACGAGAAAGGTATTTGCACCAATTGTAGCATTTTGGAAAGGTAAGAGTGTCAGCTATAATTTGACATCTATTTTGACGGGGGTTTTATAAAAAATATTGGTCCAAAAAATCGAAAATTTGACTAGAACTTGCTTGACCACTTACCCCATCATGTGACCACTTGTTGGATAGGTATAAGCTTTCCAACGACACCTATATTGTATATATTATTGTATATCGGGTAATTGGATCCGGGTCTAAGGGGGTCCTGAACCCGGAATCTGGGGTCTCGAATCCGTCCTTGAAGAAAAAAATAGTTTCCCAGGATCAGGGTAAAAATACGTACCACTTGAAAAAGAAAAAGTTGAAGAGTTTTTACTAAACTAGAGTTAAGCCTTCGAGATCTAGTTTAGATCCTGGTTTACGCAACTCATATGGACAATAAATGTATCATTTGAAACCTTGTGGAAATACCTGGCTTATATTGAGTTTACTAGTTTTGCTCAATTATCACATGTGGATATTTGTAATCTCTCAGTGTGGGGGATATTTGACTTAAGTCTTTTTTAGTAAAGACTCGAATTTTTTTAAAATATTTTCAGATGTAAGTGTTTGTACCCTGATTCCAGGAAAGTATTTTTAGATCCAAAAGTCTGAGGCTCGAAACTCACTGGATACTTAGGCCACAAGAAGTGGTCTGGGGATGAATTCAAGGAAAATTGAGATGGTGCTATTGACTACAAAATCCAAAGATTCACAACTATAATGAAAATGTAACATGGAACATCGTTTTCATAAAGCAAACGTTGCATGCTGCACACGTCGCAAAATATTTGGAAGCGGTGGAGGCTTCAAACCCTATATGATGTTATAGATGTAAACCAATAGTATATTTTCTGTCCCGAAAGTCCGAGACCTGGACCTACTAAAGCGATATGAAAATACCTGTCCAATAAGGGCCACATGATCTTATTTAAAACGGTTCGGGAGTTATATTCAAATTATACATTTGTTGGACACGGATTTTTTTAAATCTCGAAAAGTCTAAAAAGGTCCTATAATAGGATTTGTTGCTTACACTCTAACCTTTCTTAAGTGCTACAATATGTGCTATGATTGCGATGATTTATTGGATAGGTATTTTAATTAGCTTTCAAATGACACTCATAATGTCCATATCGTTATAGTAGATCCGGGTTTTGGACCCAAATTTTGGGTTAAATATCCAGGCTCATCCCACCAAGACGCTGTACTTTCCCAGAATCAGGTACAAATACCTACCATTGGAAAAACAGTTGTTCCAAACATGATAATATCCGATTGGAACGAAATAATGCATACACTATCATATGAAAGTTTTTCGCAATAGCTTTCTAATAAATGGTAAAATATTGGATAAATGTTTCATATTTTTTATGCGTTCGTTCTTTTGTTGCTATTGAAATTATTTAATTCGATAATGTAAACTAATATAAAAAGTAGCTTTAACTCGAAGTTCGTATTCAAACGAATTCGTTTTTGTTTTTTTTTAATGATGTGCGTGAAATAAATTTAAATTGCACTACTTTGATGTTTCGTTTACCAAACTGGTTTTCACTCAGAGATAGATTTAAATTTAACTACATAGCAGTGAGAGTAAATTTAAATATAACTCAAAACTGCTTGTTTTAAAACAAAATAAAAGTTAAAATTATGAAATAATATAATAATAAAAATGTTATATGAAGTTTATTAAAAATTTATAATTGCAATTGTTCCAATATCAAATTTGGCCTTCGAAATACTGCGCGCGTAAATACCCACAAACTGAAACAAATTAATGGAAAGTAGTCAAGGATGCCCCTTTGTGGTGTCCTTTTTTGGAAAGAGCATCAAAATGCTCCTAGACCGCTTTGTTTGATGGACCAAACCCATCCGGAAATCCCATAGTGGCCAGACTTATATTTCATGTGGTCACTTGCAGGAGAAATTGGTCTGTGCCCATTGTGGGGAAATGGTTACGGATGCACCTTTATGGTGTTCTTTTCGGAAAGAGCATCGAAAATGCTCCTAGACAACTTATTTTGATAATCCAAACCCATCTGAAAATGCCACAGTGGCCAGAATTATATTTCATGTGGTCACTGTAGGAAAACTTGGTTTGGGTCCACTGTGGAAAAATGGTTAGGTTAGGTTAGGTTAAAGGACGCGCGGTTACCATATGGCAACCGCTCCACTCGGAGACCTATAGGTCCATTGTGTTCATCCTAGAAAAGAGTGTTAAGAGATAAAAGAAAAAGTGATTGGTAGAAAAGGTGAAGATAGAAGGTAATGTTGTAGAGTGTGATCTACGGCTGAGGAGTTTGCCGTGTCGTCTTTAGCCACTTTAATCTTCTGGCTAGTTGAAGTATTACTACAGCGTTAGTGTTAGAAAAAGACGACAAGTCATGTGACACTAGTTCTCCCACTAGCCTGTGTCTCACATTAATGAGTGCTGGGCAGTGGCAGAGCAAGTGTTCGATTGTCTCGATTTCTTCTTCATCTTGACAGATCCTACAGTAGTCAATGCCGTTGCTGTCCCATTTCGAGGTCATAGCCCTCACCTTACAGTGACCTGTGATGATACCCACCACAAGGTTTAGATCAGGTTTTGACAATGACATTAGCGACCTTGTTCTCTTCACCGAGAGAGTGGGCCAGATTCGTTTGGGGATGGTGCATCCCATTTCATCCAGCCATTTTTGTTGGATTTTCTCAGAGTAATGTTTGTGAATAACCTGTAGGAAATGGCACAGTGGTGGTTTAACCGAGTTGTCTACTTCAATTGTAGTTGATTCGGATCCTAGTCTGGCCAATTCGTCTGCAGTCTCGTTACCTGGGATGTTAAAATGTCCAGGAACCCAACAGAGCTTGATGGATAACCCAGTGTTTTCCAAGGCTTCTCTGCAGTTCAAAACAGCCCTAGACTTGATTGTAAAGGAACTCAAGGCTTTCAGTGCCGCTTGACTATCGACATATATAGTCACCGGACTACTGACTTCAATGCTCCTCGTGACCAGCAGGTCAATGGCCTTTTTGACCGCAATGATTTCCGCCTGAAATACGCTACAGTTGTTTCCAAGCTTGTAGGATTCACGAACATTAAGGGTATCACAGAAGACACCAGCTCCCGTACCACACTCCATCTTTGAACCGTCGGTATAGACAGCTATGTCGCGGAAAGGTGGGTTGTTTTGAGCACAGGCGTTTCTACCAGTTATGTGTATGTCAGGTGGGTAGAAGCTTAGTCGTGGTATATATAATATCACTTGCAAAGGCTATCTCTCCCACACTCCTTACACGCCTTAGAATCGCAGAATGTCCAAAGGGTTGACTGCGCCATTCACCTAGTTCTCTGAGTCGAAGAGAACTTCTGAATGCCTGTTCCTCCACATATATATTCAGCGGGCTTATGCCCAGTAGAGTATCCAGTGCTGCTTGAGGCGTGCTCCTGAAGGCACCCGTTATTAGTAGGGATGCGACCCGTTGAACTTTGTCAATGTGTCGTAGATAAGTTGACTTCTTCAAAGAATGCCACCATACTAGAGATCCATAGGTTAGAATGGGGCGAACGATTGACTCATACATCCATTTGATGATGTGCGGTTTGAGGCCCCAGCTTTTGCCTATAGAATTCTTACAGGAATAGAGTGCAATCAAGCCTCTCTTAGCTCTTTCCTCGGTGTTCCTCTTCCAACTTAGTCGGCGGTCAAGGATAGTGCCAAGGTATTTGGCTTCTAGCAAGAGGTTTAAACTGACTCCATCTAGTTTCGGTGATGTAAATGAAGGATATTTACGTCTTTTAGTGAAAAGGACGATCTCTGTCTTTGATGGGTTAACGCCTAGTCCATTGCGATGTGCCCACCGTCATAAGGTGACTAGAGCTCCTTGCATTAGGTCCGAGGAATTTCAGGAATTTCCCGGCAATAAATAGGACGACGTCATCAGCGTATGCGACTATTTTCGTCCCTATTACCTCTAGATCTATAATTATATTGTTAATGACAAAAAGCCAAAGTAGTGGTGATAGGACAACCCCTTGCGGAGTGCCCCTAGTGACCGATTTCCTGACGGATGTTTCCCCGATGCTCGAGTTGTTGTTGTTGTAGCAGCTCATACATCCGTGTTCGTTCGGTTTCCATTTTCTGACTCAGTTCAATCAGGTTCTGCCTCTAAGTCCAGTCTCAAAAAGGATGCAACCTGTATGGGTTGTGTCCATAACG